GGTTATCATCCATGACTTGATACTTTTGACTTTTCAAAAGTTGATAATCTTATTGTGAAAGATTTGGCGATTCATTTATCAGAGCTACATGCAACGATGAAGGCAAAGTTAAAAGAAGCTCAAGAAGAACAAAAGATCAATGCGGATGTCTATCGAAAGGAATAACCATCATTCCTCTTGGGTGATAAGATATGGCTACTTCGTCGCAATATCAAGACCACTCGTCCTTGTGATAAGTTGGACTATCAAAAACTTAGACTATTTTCTATTTCTGCACAAATCAATCCAGTTGCATATCATTTATATCTATCAAAGTCAATGAAAATCCATCCAGTATTCTACATGTCTCTTCTTAAACCATACAAGACAATGGACATACCAAAAAGATGACAAGCTCTACCTCCTCCTATAGAAGTGGACAATAATGAAGAATTTGAAGTAGAAGAAGTCTTGGATTCAAGGCGACGTCAAAATAAATTAGAATATCTTGTCCATTGGCACAGATATGATATTAGTGAATGTACATAGAAGCCAATAAATAATCTTGCAAATGCAGCAAAGGCGATGGAGACTTTTCATCGATGACATCTATCAAAATCAAGATAAAAATCTTTTTTATAAAAAAAACAATATCTAGGCAAGATAACATTCTACTTTCAATCTTTGTTTGTAGCTTCTTTGTAGTTGTGACGCTTAAGAGATGGAGAACCAATAACCAGTGGATTCGACTCAAGAGCCTTCATTTGCTGACTTGTTGGATGAGACATTACGATTGTCACAACCTTCAAGTCGACGCAATCGAGATGAAGATCTCTAAAAATGACATGTCCTTCCTCGAATAGATGGCGAGATACAATGCGTTTGGTATTACAATTTGGAAAGGGACTCCTGATATTTGGTGATTTTTCTAGACGTAGGAACAACTCCTGATGGTGTTCCAAATATTCTATTCGAAGGAAGTTATGAAGGCATCAACAATGATCAAATAACTGGATAGTCTTTCCACCCTGGTATGGGATACTACCAATGGTTGAGAGGCCCTATCAATCATCTTCAAAGAGAACAAAGATCAGAGTATGTGGCAAATATAATTTGTCGCATCATAGATTTCTTCGACATATGATGACCGCTCCTCGTGGAACTCGTTCCTAGAAAGAGGGGTAATATCACAAACATATTCATGTAAGCTAGTAATTACACATACAAATAGGTGGAAGTAAATAAAAGTATGTAAAAGTAAGTTAATTCTATAGTATTTAATATAGAAGCTTCCTAAAAGCTTCATAGATGCTGCTTTGACCTCATAGGTGTCTTTAATTGACTTTTTGGATTAGAAACGTAGTCAATAAGTTAATCATGTGCCACACATGTTGTTAGCTTGAAGATCAAGCTAACTATGTGGCCCACACGTAGAAAAACTTGCCTTGTAAGTCAAGGCATGCTTCCTACAAAGTCAACACATATTGGAGGTCCTCTAGAATGTCGCCACGTAGTCCCTAATTAGATAGTATATATAGAGACAAGAGTAAAGCCTTTTTCACTCTTATCAATTATTTTCTTGCTTCCAGTTTAGTTTCAAGGGTCTCTAGTTTTCTTGTCTTTTGGCAATAGCCATTCCAATTTCTCTTTCAATATACATACTTGTTTATTTATATTTTGTTACCTTTCTTTAAGTAAAGGCTCACTTGTCTGAATTGCTTTTTCATCGAGTTCTTGTCTTTGACACTTATCTTATAATGAGGTTTTATATTATTGTGAATTAGATAGATCTTAGACACTTAAAAAAGATTGGTTCTGTTTCAACTCTCTTTAGTGATTTCCTAATCTTTTTTAATGACATAAGAGTGTATTGAGGATTTCTTTTTTTAAGATTTATGTTCTTAATATTCGCTTACAATTGCCTATCCACTACTTGGGTCTACTCAACTTTGGTTTTAATAATGTTGTAATTGAGGACAAAGATCTATAATTGCTTAATTTGAAATTATTGGTCAAAAAACTACGATGCATGCAAGCCAATGAGCAAAAGAGATCCATATGCATGTATTTATATTACCAACAATTCCAAGATGAAGACAACTACAATTGTAGCAATATCAATGTGATAACAGAATGCAAATTCAACGCTCTAATATGAAGCCATTAATAAGAAAGAACATAAATTTGTTGCTAGTTCATTATTGAGAATTTAAAACATGATATATAATTAATAATTTTCTTAGTGATTACATTATTATAAGTACTATCTCTGATTTCTACATAATAAAAATGACAAAAGTACAGAAATACAAACAGGTATACACTACAAGAACAATTTTTTTTATTCTTGATTAAAGATGCAATAATCGCTCCGACCACACAAGCCTTCAAGGATTGACTGAAAAAAATATATCATCATTAAATCCAAAGATTATGCAGTTTCTTTTATTGCCACAAGTGTTCCACCATAATGTGGATTCAAAAGGGTTGTTTTTGCTATCCAACCTCCACCACCATTAACTTTGAGTGAACTTTTATACACTATGCAACACTCAATGGAACCAATAACTATATAAAAAAAAAAAAAAAAAACTTCAAATTTCTTACAATCGTAGCTTTGCAACGTTGAAATCTATTATTGTACGGAATATATAAAGCATGCAAAAATTAAAGGAGATGATAACAACAACTTTACTCCTTACAAAAAGAACTGTTGAACCAAGACAAACTAATTCACGGCTACTTTGCTCCACCCAATGATTGGACCAACTTCCACCTTGAAGGTATTGTAATGTAATATGACTAGTGAATGAAAAAAGAAGAAACCATTATATTATAGAAGGTCTAATTTTAAAATATTATAACAAATTATCTTAGAAATATAAATAATAGTCAAAAAGATAGTAAAACTAAAAAGTGCTAATGTTGCCTTTTTGCAAAATGAGCTTTTTTTTTACTTTGTAGGGCCATAAATAAGATATTTTATACAATTATGTTATTTTTATAGTAATAATATATTAACCACAAATAAGTAGTAATTTTAATATATTTTTTTCTTAATTTCTTAAAACTAAGATCTTAAATAATATCAATTGTAATTTAATTATTTATAAATATTTATTTATTATATTATATTTTATTTTATTCATAAATTTATAATTTAGTATTATTCTATATATATATATATATATATATATATATATATATTTATAAATATATATATATATATATATATTTATAAATATATATATATATATGATTTTAACATATACTTTTAAATATAAAAATATAGATTTTAAGTTACAAAAATATACAATTGATTGTTATAAAATATTGTATTTGAAAAATATATAAAATGTCTAAATAATTTAGAAGAATTTGTATATATGTATCAATTCCTTTAGAACCATAAGTATGGCTATATAGTTGACTTTTTTATTTGATTTTATATCTATAGATTTTTTTTAATTTTTTTTAGAATACATATTTGAAAACAAAGAACTAGAAGAATATATATATATATATATATCCAAAATTTAATTTTTCAAACTTAAAGATCTCTTTCTTAGTTTATCTTATTTCATTTATAAAATTTAGATAACAATGTGAATGTTATAAAATTCATGAATATACAAGACATAGAAGCTATTTATTTAATAGGATTATAATATTTTATCAAACATGTGATTTTTTAATTTATATTAAAATATATTTAATAAATATAAATTCCACATAAATTTACTCAAAAGAAAAACAATTAAACTTATATTTGTATGTTCTTTGCATCATCACATGATTAAAGATTTATTTACAATAATTTTTTTTTTCTTGTAATTTTTTCTTTATATTAAGTAAAAGTGTAGTGAATAGACTTTGACAAGTTTACAAAATGTGTATTTGTTTAATTGTTTCTTTTTCACTTTTTTGGTCCTTCTTCTTTCATTGTTTCTTAGTGATTGTACTTTTTACTTTACACCATTAATAACAAGCAGCATTTAAGTGAGGTCTCCACATAATTTGAATTAAGGGGTAAATTTTATCCTCACAAAATAATATATTTTTATAATTTTGGAGGTATTTGGATGAGAAAAAAAATCAATTATATTTTAATTATCTTCTAAGCATAATTTAAAAGGACTCATCTTTATTGCCATAAATATCATTTTTAATTAGGAAGATAACTATCTTTGCTGAAACTTGTACTAAACAAAATAGAACTTCTTTTTTCTAGTTTAATATGTGTATTATTGTGCTATTTATTGTAATAATTATTATATTAAACAAATAGATAGTTATATAAATATATATATATATATATATATATATGTATATAAATTAATATACATTAGAATATATCAATGAATCTTATATCAAAATCCATTATAACAATATTCAAGCCTATTTAATTATATAAATTATTACTGACATCTATAAAGTATTTGTAGGCATCTTCTACCTTTAGATTTAACCTTTGTTCAATCTACTTAATAATAAAATATATTTTCTCATTAATTTTATTTCTTATGTCTTTATCAAAATAAAATAATAATTGGCATTAAATATAATGACAAGTTGTTAAAAAAAAAAATTATCCCATCTTGAGAGATTTTCTTTATATATTTCTAAATAACTTAGGAAAGTTTCTAAGCTTTTCTTTACATATTACTTAACATGTAACTTAGGAAACTTTCTAAGCTAGTTACAAGTTTTTCTTTACATATTACTAAATAACTTCGGAAAGTTTCTAAGTTGGAGAAGATGCAAGCTGCCGATGAGGCAACATGATGTTGTTCATAATCGTGTTGTACTGATCGATCAATTGAGGGCCGTTTCGAAACCTTAGCCTCAAAGCTTGCTGAACCCGTCAAAAGTATGTCTAGTTGAATTCGCCGCACTCATGACATTCAGATATTCTGACACAGTTAAGCGGGCGATCTTACTATCAGGCGCGTGCGGCTGAGGACGAGAGTTGAGACATCAAGTTGCGTGATTTGGTACATCGCGGACTTAGCTAGTGGATCATGGACAGAGTTCAGGAATTAGCCCTGGTTCCCGCAGCTAACACGCGGACGGACACCAGCACTCTCAACATCCTGCTGCTAGGGCCAACGGGAGTTGGCAAGTCAACATTCATCAACGCGCTCTGTAACTACCTCAGTTATCCTTCTCTCGATGAAGCGCTTGAGGGTGACGTTAAGAGCCTTATATACTCTGGGTTTACATTATCGAGCTTCGAGAACCGAAAAATTGTAAAGAAAACTGTTTCTGTTGGGAAGCGAGATGAGGACGAGGGTGCGGCCAGCCAAGGTGCATCGTGCACTCAGAAGTGTAAGGCTTACAATTTTAACATTCAAGGGACCCAGTCGATACGGCTGATCGACACTCCCGGAATTGGGGACACCAGAGGTTATGATCAGGATGTCAAGAATATGAAGGATATCCTGTCATTCATCTCCCAGTATGAGGTGCTGCACGCTGTCTGCATACTTCTCAGGCCAGATGAAGAGAGGCTTACGAAATCTCTCAGGTACTGCGTTGTCCATTTGCTTGAGAAACTTCACAAAGATGCTTCAAGCAATATACTCTTCTGCTTTACGAACTCGAGGAAAACGTTTTATCAACCTGGGAACACTGTGGTCCTTGTTGAAGACATGCTGAAACCGAAATCGCATGATGATTTTATCGAGCTGAATATAAAGCTGGATGATCAAAATACACTCTACTTTTTCGACAGCGAGAGTTTCCGATTCTTAGCAGCTAAGAAGAACGACATCAAATTTCCAGATAAGGAGACCGACAATTTCAAGTCAAGTTGGACGCAATCATCAGAAGAGGCAGTCAGGCTTATCGGCCACATCGCATCTCTGGAACCTCACTACATACAGGATACGCTGGCTCTGAACCGTGTAAGAGTCATGCTGGAAACAATACAGAAACCGTTGTGCAAAATTTCGGCTAATATTCAGGCGAATCTCGAAGAAACCAGGAAGATTCGGAATGAAGTGTCCGAAACATGTGAGAATATCAAGAACTATGCAAAACAGTTGGTCCGAGCAGAAGTATATGAGGAAACTTATCCTCTAGACCATCCTAGAACAATCTGTACTGAACCCAAGTGCAAAGATAAAGTCTGTCATGACAGATGCAGTAATATGGAGACGGCTTTTGGATTGCTTGACTCAGTCGGGAAGCTCCCACTTGCAAGAGATATCGTATCTGAACTCATAGATAGTGCTTTGCCAGTTCCCATACTCAGTATAATTTCCAAACATTTGCCCCCAGCTACAATCCCAGTACTCTCGAACTTAGGTGTTGAAGATGCTAATGGTGACGCTATATTCTGCAATAAATTATCTTTTAGGTCCGGTAAGTGCAGGACTTGCGATTGTCCCAATACAATGCACATTCGTGAGAGTTCGGTTTGAAGAACTGCTACTCGCTCGGTCGTGGATGAAGATATACAAAAGGTTATTGATGAAAGCGATAACGATATGCAGCAAAAAACGAAGATCTTGACGATACTAGTGGAGAAGGAGAAGTTTTTCAAGACCGAGAACGATGTTGTTCTGAACGCAGCTGCGCTCTATTCTGGCTTCTTAGAGCAGAACAGCATCATCACGTATCACAGCGCCATCCCGCAGTACCTCGATGAACAAATCAAGATGGAACAGCGCGAGGGCAATACTGCACGAGTTGCAGAACTTCGAGGCATGCTTACCACTTACGAGGACCAGGTGCGCCAGTTCAAGCTCACGAGGGCAGGGATTAACTCAGGGTCCAGTCGAAGCATGGATGTATTGACCCAAGAGGATGTGGACCTTGAGGTCCAGAAACTCTATAGGCTGGAGCTGCATGGCTCCCATTTAAAGGCTTGGATGGACAGTGTAGAGAGCGAAGCCCAATTCGAAAGACTTGAAGAAGTGAAACGAACTGAGGCTGCATTCAATTTACCAAGTGCTTCAGGCGGTGCTTCAGGTTCAAGTTTGGGTGGACGGATTTTGGAGTCAATCAAGTGTAATCCACGTCTCGGTTGTCCACCTCAAGGCTAATCCACTGCTCAGTTGTATACAAACATGTCCTCTACTTGGTTGAATAAAATATAACTTTATAAATATTTTTAGTTGATTAGTAGGTTATAAATTTGGCTTACAAGTTTACCATTTATTGCACATATTGGTGACTTGTGGTACAAGTTGGCACATATTAGATGTCTTATAGAACATTGCCATGAAACTTTTAATTAGATTATATATATATATATAAGAGTGAATACTTCTTCACTCTTGTCAAAACCTTTCTTGTTTTTAATCTTATTTCAAAAATCTTCGGTCTTTTTGTATTTGGCAATAGCCATTCTTGTTTTAACATTATAATATCTTTAAGTAAGTATCTATTCTTTTTGTATGACACAAAAATATATTGAGGTTTTTATTGTTTGTGATTCATATCTTAAATAAACTAATAAAACTTAACATTTTATGTTTTTACGGTTCAAAATATATATTTGACAAAGATTTTGTAAAACAAAAGAATTGAAGGCTACAATAATACAAAATTATAGAATAAAAATAGATAAGTATATATTATAGAAATAAATTTAATAAAAATCGTAATTTGAAATAAAATAAAATAATTTGTTTTAGAATATATTTATACAAAGATGAATGGCATAAAAAGGTGTGTGTGCAATTAAAAAGAAGTGTCCAACTAGAAAAAAAAAATTAAATATTATGATACAAACAAAAGAATGTAGATTCTATTATTTTATCTATTTTATCTATTAATTAAGATTCAAAAATTTTATCAATGATATTCTTAGAAGTTCAAATTACTATGTATACAATATATTAAATTTAATATTATATAAATAATATCATTATTATAAAATTAACATCAAAAAAAATTAATGAAACCAATGTAATTCAAATAGAAATTTAATTAATGATATTAATTTTTTTCAATAATTAAAAAATCATTATTATAATATTTAATTACGTAAAGACTTTTAATTTTTTTTAAAAAAATTATTGTATTCATTTTATACAAAAAATAGTATATATACTTAAACTTCTAAGATGTAAAAAAATATTATATATGTTATTTTATTCTTTTTCTAAAAACATTTTACTATTTAAAAATATCATAATTCTTCTAAATATTTTTATTTAATGTTTTTTAAAATAATAAGATTATAAAAATATATTTAAAATATAAAATATTTAAAAGTATCTTATTTTTATAAAACTTCAAAAGACTTAATAATGAAAAGAAGATATGCAAAATCACATTTTTTATTATTCAACTTTTGAATATTGTTGAAATTCCTATAAACTCTAAGTCAATTGTAAATAATGATTCTTATAAATAAACTTAGAAAATACTTTACTTTTCAGAATCTTTAGAAAACTGATATTGCTTTCTTTCTTTCTTTCTTTCTTTCTTTCTTTTCCTTACAAAACCTTACAAAATAAAATTTTAAAATTCAATCATGAAGTCACTACAAACTTTGTAAATAAATATGTAATTTTGTAGGATGGAGTATTACTAGAGATGTACACAATTTTTTCTTCAATATCTTTTAATTTTCAAAGTTTGCATTTTTTGGGCTTACAAACATGCTCCCATCTTCGCATAGCCTTCTTAGTATCTTTTACTTTTTATCACATTCATTTCAGAAAAAACATTTCATTACTTGCAGTATGCAATTACTACCCTTTGATTTTACCATCAAGTCATGCATCTGACCATAATCAGCTCCTTATCATTATTATTTATACAAATTAAGAATCGTTTTAGTACATGCAAGGAAGTAATGAATTGGAATTGGGTGAAAATTGCAACTTGTATAATTCACATATGTATATTATACAACATTATATGCATATACATATATATCATAAATAACTTGCATAATTTACATACATATTTATATATTTATATATCATGTGTGTATACACATGAATACATGTGCCATGTCAGAATAATAAAAGAGATAATCACATTAAGAAACTTTTAATATAAATTCCATTATTACTGTCATTATTACACTTGGTTCATGGATTCAATCTAAATTTTCGTATAGAGGGCTTTTATAGAATAATGAGATAATAAAAGGTGCTCTTACTGGATTTTTATATATATATATATATATATATATATATATATGTTTCGATACATTTTTATTTTATTTTATTTTATAATCCTGTGCATGTTATTGGGGTTAAGAAATAGCTGAATTTAAAATATTTTAAAGTTGTAATTGATGGTTATATAAATGATTGGAAAAAGAAATTCGCTTCTTTATTTTTTCCTCTTCCTTTTTTCAAGAGGCACAGTTTTTCAACTTTGTTGATGTCCATAATTCCCAGATGGGGACCGCACCAACCGTGGTTTGTGAAGCCCCGGTTCTAAATGGATGACAATGTAAGATGCACATATTTCATCCTAAAAATGGATGATTATGTCGAGAAAGAAGACGGAACCTGATGTGGACGGTGGGCCTTCCGATCCATCACATCTGACGGTGGCTGTTAATAGAAGAATTAGGGTTTCGGGACACCCCTACAACTCTCCCTCCCTGTGCATCCGAAGCTCTCTCTTTTCGCATCCCTCGCCCACTCGTTTCTCTTCGCTTGCGTTGAGCGTCGTCTCTCACCATGGTGCGTCTTCCAAACCCCCCTCGCTTTCTGTTCTCACATTGTTAATTCAGAACATCACATTCGTGAAAGTTGCTTCGTTTTTGTACATTGGTGTCTTTAGGGTTTCAGCGTGCGGTGGTCGTCTACATTTTTGATGCTGTTGAACCTTCTATTGCAATGACATGTTTTATGTCTACACTGTTCTTTTTTCATTTTCTTCTGTCATCAGTAGTTTTTTAGGTTCCCAGCCACGAGGGCCATTCCGTGAATGGACTCTGATTACCTCAGCCCTCGTCATTGTTCTTCGCCGCATCGCTTCGCGAATTTGTATAAGAGGATGTCAGGATTTTAGTTGTTTGATTCCACTGCGTTGACTTTCTGCGCACCAGTTCCACCGTATCATAAACTAATTTATTAGGGTTATTATGTGGGCTGATACTGACGTTATATTCTCATGTTTATGTTTCTGTTCAGCCTTCTCAAAAGACTTTCAGGATCAAGAAGAAGTTGGCGAAGAAGCTAAGGCAGAATCGCCCAATTCCGCACTGGATTCGTATGCGTACCGATAATACCATCAGGTTAGTTTCCGCCGCTGTTTATTTCTGGAATTTTTGCGATCCGGCGACCCGAATGGAATTGAAGTACTGAACTGTAGGCGGTGGGAAGTATCTGGTTGAGGTCTTATTTTATAAATGTTTTGGTCTGGGCTTATCCTCTGAGTCTCAAATGGTCACTTATTCAAGACATGCTTCCAACAGATACAACGCCAAGCGTAGGCACTGGCGCAGAACCAAGCTTGGACTGTAGGCTGTGTGAGGGTCAAAGTACAGGATGTAGTTATAACAGGGGATGTGACTCAACTCACCTGTTGGGTTGAGTTGGTAAGTTAATCATCATTTTGGCTTCTCGCTGGTGTCTACCCATGGGAGACATCACGCCCCTTTTATAATATTTCTTTTACATTCGGATGGGTGTTTAGAACAATCCACTAATTGTTTTGATATTTGCCTTACCAACACTTATGTAATCCTCGAGCCTTGGGTTTTGTTTGCAATTTCCCCCAGGCGAAGTGAATCGTTACGTGAGTATTTCTTTACATAATTCTTCATATTTCATGCTGTTTTGGATATGTCGAAATACAATTTACATTTACGGAAAACTTTGTGTATGGGTAGGAGCTGTCTTGAGGAGACGACTTCTCTTTGTATATCATCAACCAAACAGCAATCCATGATTTTAGTAACTTTACATCAATACATGTTTCACTTATGTGGTTAGTCCGCTACAGACAGTATTGAAAGTTTTAAATGCCAGAACGCCGTCTCTCTTGCGATTCACCCGAACACTATGAAGGTTAAGAGTAATTTACCTGACGTCGTGCAGCTATCTGAATCGTTTCGGTTGAAGTTAATATTTTTGTGTGTTTGCACTTTCCTAAAACTGCGTAGGCATTGACAGACCTTACTATGAATATCGCATTGACTAAATCGAAATATACCGCCGATCTGTAATAAACTGTCTATCCCACATCATGATAATCCCAATATCACTAGGCAGATACAAGTGAACCAGCACCTGCATCTGGCTGTTCAAAGGTGATCAACAACACACAAACCCCCTACAAACGTTAAGTGTAGTGTAGCAGCAACTTGTGTGTCCTACCTAACCCTGATTCAGATGAAGTGAGTGGCACAGAAGAAATTGTTAGAAATCCTGGCGCCTGATGTCCAGAAGTTGGAGAGGGAGTGCCTGTTCATGCTGGCAGCAGATGGATGAGTTATCTGTTCTTCGCAGGTTTTCAGTTGATTAGATATTTCAGGATCCAGAAATACCGGTTGAAATCCCCTGTTAATTGCCACAAGCAAATTGACCCAGAGCTCCTTCCAAATTATTGTGGATGAACGTTGTTGTAGTAGAGAGAGTTGTCTCAAGAAAGTGCAGGGCCTCTGGTTGCCACTAATTACTCAAACAAGTTGCAAGATTATAAAATACTAATGTGATTTATAGCTTGTCTTCAAGAAGACAAATACATCAAATACACAGGTGTAGGATGCACAAGAGTATCCAAGATAGCCTATATTCACTTTTGTTCTTGTTGAGATTCTTTTGGTATATGTATCATTCAATAACTACCAATCTAACCATTTAGTTGGGTTTAAAATTTTCCACAAGTTAACTTATATCTTTGACTTCCTCTACATAAAAATCCAATCATAAATTCATTACATGTTTTTGGATATTACCTAACTTCTAGTAGGTGCTAAACATATCAATTTCTAGGCATCTATGTACTAATTCCTTCATATCTCAAAAATCCAATATTCAAACACTATCAATTTTTCATGTGCAACTTCTTAACATAGTCATATACATTTGTGGAATTTTTGAACTAAAAATTTGTCCAAAATTTCAAGATATGGCAAAAACTGAAACCTCCATTAAAAACAACTCACTTATATATCCCAGTTTTGAATACTAACTTCCAAAAGCTCTTTCTCCTTCATCTTAGACTAAAATATATTGATGTTTTTACATAAAATGTAGTTCTTTAAGTGAGCTTTCAAACCTTACTTTCCAATTCCTCAAAGCTTTCCTATAACTCTCTATATGCTCAAAAGAGTAGCAGTAGGTACTCAAAATCACACTCTAACTTCAAACAACTATAACTCTCTCCTTACAACTCCAAATCACACATTTATTTTATTCAAATTCTAGTCCAAAATAATAGTAATAATAAATTTGAATTCAACCTCTAAACTTTGAATAAATTGCCTTCCTTCAAATGGGTTGCCCTAAATTGGTTCCAAATTCTAGTATAGTCCCAGTTAACATCTCAAAGCCTATTAGGCATGACTTCCAACCAATAGAAATGAAGTCTTCTATCACTTATCTTATCTACCTACATGGGATGGTCCAAAAGTCAAAATATTATTGACTCCAAAGCCCTTCTACACTTCTTTCTAATAAATCCTACAACTTCTATCTTTAATTACAAAACTTAAAATTACAAACTTAAATTACAAACTTAAATAAATTAGACAAATATTTTATTATGTTTATATTTATTTTATTTTTAATTATATTTCAAACTTTCATAACATTTCACACTATTTTTACAAATTATGCTTCTTTTCAATACGACAACATGGATGAGATAAACAAGTCCATAATTTCGGTGCATTTGTGGTAGAGTTAATTAATCAATTTTAAATCTATGTGGTTTAAATTTGAAATCTACAACAATGAAGAAAGTTCTTCTAGGCTTGAAAAACCTCTTTATGCTATTTTTTACTTTTTCTCATAAGGAAGCATATTATTATTTCAAACCCTATCACATCTTTATTTTTTTATTATTATTATTATTTATTTATTTATTTATTTATTTATTTATCTATTTATTTATTTATTTTTATATAATATATTATTATTATTATAGACACTTTCTATTGAATGATCGTGAAGTCAGTCTTTCCAAATACAACACTCAAAATTGGAACATGACCATAGATGGTCTTATCAAATAGATATGAGAATAGATAGATTTTTCCAAATGCAACACTTAAAGTTGGAATATGACCATGGATAGTCATTCCAAGTAGATATAAGAATAGATAGGTCTTTCCAAATGCAACACTCAAAGTTGAAACATAACCATGGATGATCTTACCAAGTATATATGAGAATAGATAGATTTTTCCAAATGCAACACTCAAAGTTGAAACATGACCATGGATAGTCTTTCTAAGTATATATGAGAATAGATAGGTCTTTCCAAATGCAATACTCAAAGTTGGAACATGACCATGGATAGTCTTTCCAAGTGGATATAAGAATAGATAGGACTTTCCAAATGCAACACTCAAAGTTGGAACATGACCATGGATAGTCTTTCCAAGTGGATATAAGAATAGATAGGACTTTCCAAATGCAACACTCAAAGTTGGAATATGACCATGGATAGTCTTTCCAAGCAGATACAAGAATAGATAGGTCTTTCCAAATGCAACACTCAAAGTTGGAATATGACCATGGATAGTCTTTCCAAGCAGATACAAGAATAGATAGGTCTTTCCAAATGCAACACTCAAAGTTGGAACATGACCATGGATGGTCTTCCCAAGTGGATATGCAAATAGATAAGATTGTTTACTTTTGTTAGACATGCTTTGTAAAATGATCATTTGTGACATTCTTTGGCATTTTTGAACGAATTATTGATGAATGGCTACAATCATTCTTATTTTCCCATTGTTGATGCTGGTATACAAATAAATAGCACATAGAAGTTTTTGAATTCTAAATTAATGAAGCATGTAAAGCAGTTGAAGAATGCCAAACCAGAAATAAAAAACCGGTTTGCATCTAAAATGGTGAGAATCAAACATATTCTACAAAATGTTCTGTTCCTTTGAAGATGTTGGAGCATTCCTACAAATATCATTCATTTAAGATTGTTAATAACTAGTTACCATGGAATCATGGCAAAAATATAGTCAATCCACCAAATGTCCATTTTCATATCACCAAAGCACGTGAAACCACTATCAATCAATTCCACCACCAAGTCCAATTCACACGACGAGACGACGATGCAAAATGGATGAACGTCCATGTGCATTCGCCATCCATAAATTCCTTAAGATGGAATCGGCTTTTCGACGGTTTGGATGCAAGCTGCCATACCGACAGGAGATAGAGATTCCACGCAACGTATCTCGACGGTGCCGAAATGTTGGAATCCATTATTCCCTGCCACATGCAAAACGAGTAGCGAGGTTTTTAGCAACTCAAAAGTCATAGGACCCTTTTGAAATCTACCACTCCGTCTTTGGCTGATCCCTTTAATGTTGACCTAAAATCTAGAACAGAGGGTAACTGGTCTGTCATATTTCAAACCGCACCTCCGCATTCAAATGTGCCGGTTTGGTGTTCGCTTCATATCTATCTTGACGAAGGTTTTAGATCATTAGAAATGTTCGAAAATGGCGATGTTATTGGCGATGTCTATAACGGGATGTTAATGTATGCTTTTCCATGATTCTGGTTCTTTCCCGGGGTATCTCGGGTTGCGGCGGTGACGTTGGATGAATTGGGAAATGTGTTGAAGGGGTACATGGATCATATGGATGTAAGAAATGTGAAGATGTGGAGAATGGGCGCCTCAGCATCACGTCGCTTGGGGGCGGGGGTGCGAGAGGGTCTTTCATCGTGTGTTCCGGGCGAGTCGGAGGATGCGGACAATTGGGCGAGGGATCCATGGTGGAGTCGCGAGGAGTGAGCGCTTGGAGGCGAGAGGGTGGAGAGGGGGGTTCGAACGAGTGTTTTCAATTGGGAAACGGAGGGGTCAGGCGGGAGTAAGGCTGGCAGATATATGTGATCGTGGGAGGGAAGACGTCAAAAATGGTGTCAGACGCTGAAATAGTGCGACATCTCACTGCGGTATTGAAGAAGGCGGACTTGAATACGACCACAACGACAGAAATTCGGCAGCAGCTGCAGAGTGACCTGGGAGTTGATTTGTCGGATAAGAAGGCGTTTATTCGACAGCAAGTTGATCTATATCTGCAGAAGCAGTCGCAGGAGCAGGAGGAGGAGGCCGGCGGAGGAGGAGAGGGACAAGGGGTTAATGAAAGAGGTGAGGAAGTGGGAGGTGGAGAGCAAGATGTCGACGACGACAATGATGATGAGGATGAGGAGGAAGGGGAGGAGGAGCATGGAGATGGCAGTAGGGAGTCCAGCAAGGGTTCTAAGACCCGCGGCGAGCCTGATTCTAAGCGGACGCGGGCCAAGATCGATCGCGCAATCAAAGCGAGGTACCTAATGTTTCTAAGTTTTTTACTTTTTTTTTTTACAATTTGAATATCAAAACCCTACCTTATTTTACTCGTGAAAAGAATTATTTGCATATGAGCGATGCATTCAGCCTTTTTACCTGTGTGCAACAGGGTGCTTCATAAACCTAAACCTAATGTCACAAATTCCATTGCTCGCCATTTTGAGCGAATTGATGTGCGAATATACAATTTACGACAAAATGAGGCATCAGTTTCAGTGGCGGAAATTTTATGAGTAGTTTCTTTTCTGCAGCACTGTGAGGGCCTGGATCAAGAAGTAGTGTGCTAGAGGGTTTTAGAGGTATCTGAAATGGTACCTGTGTAATGCTGTTCCCCTGGCACAGTGTAACGAAGGAAAAGAAGAAGAGGACAGGTGGTGGAGGTGGTCTTACGAAGGTGTGTGCTCTTTCGCCTTTGCTTCAAGCAATTATAGGCGAAGCTGAATTGCCGAGAACGCAGGTATACTCTATTATCGAACCCGGAATGTGATGCATCCCGTAGTATGAGATAGTTTTGCACAATATTTCCTTGATGGGGATACAGACTCCAACCGTGCGGTTTCTACATGTGCGGTTGTACATCTGTCCAGTACATATTGGGTATGAAATGTTCACATCTACTTGGATTCTTATGGATCGTATTATGTCTTACTTGGCTAGGTGGTGAAGCAACTTTGGGCTTACATCCGGGAACACAATCTTCAAGACCCTGATGACAAGCGGAAAATTATCTGCAACGATGCCTTACGAAATCTACTTGGCACCAACTCTACCGATATGTTTAAAATGAATAAGTTACTGTCCAAGCATATATTTCCTCTCGACAATAGGAGTACTGGGGCTGCTGGTAAGTGCTGTTGTATGTTGCTCTAATGCTCTAATGTGACCTCGTACAGACTCTAAGGATTCCTTCTTATCTGTCTGTTAGTTCTTTTGTAAGGTATCTTAGTTCCTGTATGTCGGATCTGTAGTCCTTCATTCTAATTCATTTTTCTTCTGTTTTGCAGCAAAAGGTAGAGATAGGGACACAGATACCGAAGATGCTGAGCCAAAAGCTAAGAAGCAAAAAGCAGACAAAAGTGGCGGTGGTAAGGGCAAGATTGTAGGATTCTTAGCTCCGTGTCCCATCTCGGAACAATTAGCCAAGTTTTTAGACGCTGAGGATGGCAAGGTTTCTCGAGCTGACGCGGTGAAGCGCTTGTGGATTTACATCAAAGAAAATAATTTGCAGGTGTTTTACCTCTCTTTTCTGTGGTTTTCTCCAGCATTATCCTTGATATTTTACCTAGTTGTCTCAAGATACAAGGTATAATTTCTGAGAAATTTTAGTTGTTTAGTAAAACATTTTTAATATTCTTTTTCAAATTGGTAATACTCTTCCAGTTTGAAAGAAATGTTTCAAGCATGTAGTTCTTTTCAATTCCTTTTTTGGTACGCCGTATACACCATTTTGATTTTAATGTGTGTAACCTCAGTTCTCATAGCTGTTTTTCGTTCGCAGGACCCTTCCAACAAGAAGATGATAGTATGTGATGAGCAACTTCAAGATTTATTTGATTGTGATCATTTTGTTGGGTTTGATCTTACTAAACTTTTGACACGCCACTTCATAAAGCCGGAACTCCAGTAGCTTTCACTCTTTTAGGTTTAGAAACCAAAACAGCTTCTGCATGACCAAAGAGGTTGCATGCACGGCTACATGACCGGGACGCCATTTGTTCAAAAGCTTTGAGATAGTAGACCCACGAAGAGGAGCACTGTAGTTTTTGTTCCTAAGCGGGATTAATGCTGTTTTAACACCTAGACTTTACCAGTACATTGCTGTAGGTAGAGTGGTCCTTTACGAATCACAATGTGGCAGCATTCCAGTCCTTTCTGTCGGAGAAGTTATTGGATGGTTACGCCCGGTCGATTAGTGAAACATTGCTCTTGTTCTTATCATTTGAGCTGAATTCTTGGGCTATCATTCGAACAGTATCTTTGATTAGTGTGTTTCAAACGTGGGAGACACCCGTTCCAGGGTCAAATTCTCTCCGATTGTTTATTGTAGATGTAATTTTAGGTTGTATTGATCAGAGAAAGTTTCTGTGACGTTTGAATACTATATCAGAAGTGCATCTCTTTGTCTTTCTGCCTGCCTAATAGGTGATTTTCTTTATTTAAATTGGAAGTTGTCCGACACGAGGATCCATTTTGAAACACTGTTCCCTTAAACTCCAACTAATCTTGTGCCTTTTAATGAAGAGGAATTTAATGCCTCGAAACGAAGTATGCATGGAAATTGAAAACTGGTAAGTAATTAAACTGTATGAAAATTGATTATCTTACTTGCTCTTAAAAACAATGAAAGTTATCACTGCAAATTTGAGACGCTAGGAGATACGATCGAAGCGATCAATTGAGAATGTTTAATTTCAGGTATGTGAAGTTATGGAAAATATGTTTTCTCTTATAGATCATCTACAACTTTGTAATGTTGAGTTCATGCAGATAATTGTAAAAGTCACAAAGTCAAATGACATAGAAGGTATGAAGAACGACCCTTCCAAACATCTATGAATTGCAATAATATGTGCTGTAGTGAATTGGTGTAAAAGTATGGATGTGGTCAAGTTCTTTAGCCAACAATTGTTGGAAAAGAGGGGAACGAATCCTTCGCTGGAGCGCAGTGTCGATAATAGAATGCAAAATACCGAAATCGATGCGAGGGCAGAAGTACACGCAGCACCCATTTTGTGAATGCCTTCCGTTTACGTGGAGCTTCGGAGATCGCTTAGGGTTATGGGCAGTCAATTCTCGCTCAGCCCTGGGATTATCTCTGAGGTTGCGTGGAGAGAGCGACAGATCGAGAAAGTGGTTTCTATGTCGAACGAGTTTCGGGTGATCGGGTGTTGGGTTTTCGTGTTTTGAAGGTGTTGCGAGATGGCGTTGTTGCCGAGAGCCGCGCAGGCTGCATCGCGGAATGCGACTATGAGATTGCTGCACACAGGCGCGCCCGCGCTGGTGGCGTCGACCACGCTGAATGCGCCCACGTCGAGCACGACGTCCAAGGGCGGGCCTGGGGCGGAATTTGTGTTATCCAAGGTGGACGCGCTCATGAACTGGGCGCGGACGGGTTCCATCTGGCCGATGACTTTCGGCCTGGCGTGCTGCGCCGTGGAGATGATGCATACGGGCGCTGCTCGGTACGATTTGGATAGGTTCGGGATCATCTTTCGCCCTAGCCCGCGCCAGTCGGATTGCATGATAGTTGCCGGAACGCTCACCAACAAGATGGCACCCGCCTTGCGCAAGTAAGTTTCTGAGCCCCCGTGTGCGATGTATAGTTTAGGGGTTTTGAAAAGTTGGGATACGGTGTTCTTTTTTGGGGTTTTCCTCCTTCGTGTGATTCGTGCGCTCAGTCATGTGATTTTGAGTGTTTATTGGGCTTAGACTCGGGATGTGAATGTCACATATTTGCAGTTATGGGGTATGATAGGTTTTCAACATATATTGTCTCGTTGCATGTGTGGGAACTTTGGCACCCTGGTAGTGGGCCGCCAGCTTCTAGTGGCCTCTGGTTGCCATAAATTAAGAAATCAGGATTCGTCTGAACTCCACAACAATGCTTTCAGCGGTGTTAATGGTAATTTCACTCCCAAGCTAATTTGACGACTCTAGAGCTGACGAGAATCGGGGTGGCTGGTACCCAGGGTGTACGATCAGATGCCAGAGCCAAGGTGGGTGGTTTCGATGGGCAGCTGTGCGAATGGAGGAGGCTACTATCACTACTCTTACTCGGTGGTGCGTGGGTGCGATCGCATCGTGCCTGTGGACATTTACGTGCCTGGATGCCCTCCGACCGCGGAAGCCCTGTTGTACGGGTTGCTTCAATTGCAGAAGAAGATCAACAGGCGCAAGGACGTGACGTTGTGGTGGAATAAATAAGCGTGTTTACCGAGAGACCAACGTGGAGAGAGCTTTTTCATATGCCTTTGTCGGCTTTCAATCAGTAAGTAGGATAAGCAGGATTGTACTCTGAGGCGCAATGGCCAAATGTTGATAGGTGAAGGAGTTATTTTTAGCTGCTCTGTGCACTTCAGAAAATAATTCCTTGAATTGTTTGTTTTCTGCAGCCAATGCCGTGATATTATGGCACGCATCTGGAAACAAGCAGTTCTAATTTGCTTCTACAATAATAGCGTATTCTTGATGTTGATATGCTCAGCAGTTCCTGAGTGGCAGGGTCTCGTCATGGGGTTTTCCGATTATTGCAGCTGCTGCATACTGCGGACGAAGATGCTTGCAGATAGACCTACAATACTTGCTTACATTTATGGAATTTTTTTGTTGGCCCAATAGCATTGACAAATCAGCTTGTCTACAAGGCAATCTGTTTCTGTAATTATGGTTCTTGTTGTTGAGAATGTTTAGAAAGACACAAGAGTAGTAGTATGTAATACACACACACAAGAGTAATAGTAAGTAATACACACAAGAAGGATTCTAAGGAGAGAGAGTTTCACACATAAAAATCTATTGATCTGGTTGTATCTCGGATACAAGGGAAAATGATAAATAGTTCTTTTCCACTACATTCCAAATATTGTAGCTATGGTATTTACTATAGTCTACAATAAATATTATGGAGATCGTCGACTATATTTAATGCTCTTAACACTCCTCCTCGCTCATCATAATATTTACATAATATAAAATTTGTATAGAATTATGAACTGTACTTTTTTGTAATCTTGCAAGATCAACATTTGTTGCCTCATTAAAACCTTATCTAGGAAAATCTTATTGTATTTAAGGACAAAACCATAGATGAAGGAAAAAGAGTACAACATCATTTTTCTTAGTTATTTAAAGAGCTCATTAACTCTCTTATTGAAGAAAAGTAAGTCGTTGTATACCAATGTCATAAGTAAGTCAATGATGGTTGCACTATGGGAGAGCTTTGGTGAAGAGATCAACAAGGTTATTTCAGATTCAATTTGCTTAATTATAATTGCTTGATCAGTAATCAAGTCATGGATATAATTAAAATACTTTGGATCAATATTCTTTGTCTTGTCACCTTTAATGAAACCAACTTGCATCTGTGCAATACAAGTACTATTATCTTTATACAAGATAATTGAAGAATCATCATATGAAAATTCACAAGTTGTTTGAATGAATTTATCAATTAATTGCAACCAAATACATTCTCAAGATGCTTCATGTAAGACAATAATTTTTGCATGGTTGGATGAAGTTGCAGTTATTATTTATTTCACTGATTTCCATGATATTCTAGCTCCATGTCTTAAAAATACATATCATGTTTGAGATTTAGTTGTTGCAGAATCAGATTTATATCTTGCATCATAATATCCTACCAATTTTGGATCTGCAGATTGTATATAGTATAATCCCTTTTAAATAATGTAATAAATCTTTGATGCCATTCTAATGTCATAGTATTAGACGTGGACTATGTCTTGTAAGAACATTAACTGCAAATGCAATATTTGAACTTGTAGATGTAGCCAAATATAAAAGTGTTCCAACCACTGCAAGGTATAGATATTGATCTCCCAATATTTTCTCCTCCTCTTTGAATAGACGGTATAGATCATGACCATCACGACCACATCCAACCATTGGTGTGGACAATGAATAAGCATCAATCATATTAAATCTTCGTAAGATTTGTCTAATATGTGTTGTCGTGTTGTAACACGAGTATACTGTGAAAATATAAAGAAAGGGGACTTTTATTAATGTTCAGTTACCTCGAATATTGGGAGCAACGACCAACTCCAGTGCAAATATTGAGTGGCCAGGTTCAGTCACCCCGTTACAATCAGCCGAGGCATACTGAAATGCTCCATTCAATTCCAATAACGGGAGTCAACAGGAAGAGAAAGGACCAATTCACTTGATGGGTGAGCCTAGTTCGAAGAGCCAATTGGATCCAATTTCAAGAATCCAATCCGGATCCTCTTATCCAATATGAGACCTGAATTGGCCAGACAACTTAATGCAGTCTAATTACGAGAAAATCCAGGTCTTACTACGGGCCTCAGCCAATCTGATGTGAAGGACCAATTTGATCCAATTATGGGGACATCCAGATCTTACTACTAGACTCTTAGCCAATATGAGACCTGAATTGGTCGGGCGACTCAATGTGGTTCCGATTACGGGGTTTCGATTCTGTTTTAGGCTGTCCTGTTCTTTGTGCCGTTTCAGGGAACGTTGTTTTCAATAAAAAGATCTCTTAAAGGTAAAAATGGGGGAGAAAGCTCTGATGGCGAGAGCCAATTTCGGATCCAAGCTTTGACGGTGGGAGCCAATTCTGGATCCAAGACGGAAGATTGAAGAAATTCAGAGGATAAGGTTAGGGGAGAGAATAAGTTTTTGGGGAGTTTTTTGAAGAATCAGAGAGCTAGCTTTATGCTTCGGGCGGGGAAAGAAGACAGAGAATTGGATTTTTTTTCTTCATAGGGTTTTAGGAACACTGAGGCAATCGTTGCTGAAGTTAGTATTGTAATGGTGAATCGGGATTTTTAATGAAGTGGGTTTGATTACTCTTGACTGTTTTGTGAAATCGAGTTACGTCTATGATGAAGAGTTAAAAGGGTGTCTATAGGATTGAGTATGCGGAGTGAATGAAATTTATTGGATTAATCTAACAAGACAATCAGTGGATACAAGATCGTGAGTATAAAGCGGTATCGAAGACTAGCAGTTTGGATTGTTCGGGGTTCTCTGTAACGTCTAGAGACCTATCGGCTGGGGCAAAAAGGACTTTGACAAGCAGTCGAAGGGCATCTGTATAGATTTACGGTGTATTCTTGCAGTTGTTTGTATTCCAATAGTCAAAAACTGATAAACTGCTTGAATATTGGCAAATTTCTATACTACCTTCTACAGCCAGACGCCCGGCGCGTTCTCAAGCAGGAAAGCACGTAATACGACAAAAGTGGTGAACCCAACGTGAAAGCTTGAGGTAGAAGGTATTGGATTTTGGTTGATTTTATCTTTATTTTATGAAAAATGAAAATAAAAATTTTGAAGGATTTTTGGGAGGAGTTTCTGGTGGAGATTCTTCTAAAGGACAAGGTATGCACATGGATCCGTCTATTGCTAGTATGTTTCAAGCCTTCTCATTATTAATGCAGCAACAACAAAGCAATGATTGAAAGGAAGCTTTGGCAATCAAAGCATTACAAGCAGTGGTCAATAAAATTGATCAATTTGATGGGAGGAATATTTCAAGGTATTTAAGATGTAATGTTCGTGAAATGGAATTAAATCAGGTTTCTGAGAAGAAAATGGTTGAATTATTTGGACTTGCCACAAAACCGGAGATAAGAGACGACATTACATCGATTACGGATCGTTATGGGAATTCATGGGAGGTTTTTTCACATGCATTGAAAGACGAATATTTCTTGGAAGATGCTGATCGCGTTACTAAGAAGCTATTTCTGGAATGGATTGAAAGGCCCAATAAGAATTTGCAAGCAACAGAGCTACTAAGGGAATTTGAGAGGCAGTACTCTCAATTATCGAAGGTAGAAAAATTGACATTGGAGCCGAACAAAGTTGATCTATTTCTTCAAGCTGCTGATGGAGAATTGCAAGAGAAATTAGAACCCCTTCTTGAAGACAAAGAAGAAGATGAAGGATTGACAACGAAGTGGAAGAACGTTGAAGATGCGGTGGATTTGTTTACAAAAAAAGAAAGGAAGAAGGATAGGAGCAATATTCCGAAAACAGTACAAGCACCCAAAGCTCCAATACGTACAACACCACCAACAATGCCTACAGTTCAACCTTCGACATCCTTGTCAAAGAAAGCAGATATGGGGATGGAAGAAATTATACGAGGAATGCGAGATCTTCAAATCAAATTGGCAAGACTTGAAGAGAATACTTCTATAAATAATTCGAAGAATGTTTCAAAACAAGGATATGTACAAAGATGCATTTGGTGTGATGATGCTTCACACACTAGAAAAGATTGCAATGAATTTAATAATATGATACGGTAGGGAATTATTTGCTGGAAAGATGGGAAGATAGCATTGAAAGATAGGGATGATCTTCTTCAAACTAATTTTGGCAAGGGAAGAATGAGAGTATTGGTTCAAGATTACCTAAAAGAGCATGAAACAGCAGCACGAGAAAGTGCAAGTTATGTTTCTAGAGTAGATGATGAAATTGGTGGAAATACGGAAACTAGTGAGTTTTGGGCTTCTACCGTTTCTACAATGCAAGAAGGAAAATTACCTCGAGAAGCGTTATTGAGGATTGCATCTACAATACAAGGTGCAACAGGTTGGGAGGATCCTGTTGAGTTTCTTTCAATTCATGCATATATTGCTAAGAGCCAACATGAAGCTTTGATGGAAGAAAAGAGACGAGGAAATTTTGATGATACGAGAGAAGGAAATTCTTCTAAGAGGCAAACTCGAGGAGACAAGGCTCGAGAAGCAGCTTCACAAGAATTGCCTGTAAAGGATACCTCAGCATCATTAGAAGAAAAAATAAAGGAGACAAAAAATAAAGACAAATCAATTGCTTATAAGCTACTTTCTGACATTGAAGCGGCAACAAATTTGAAAGGGGTGTTGGAAGAACGTATATTAAATGCTAAGGTGGAATTCACATTGAAAGAAGTCTTGGAAATTACAAAGAAAGAGTTTCATGATGTAATCATTGACAGCATTAAGCGAAAGAGGCAATTAATGGGCGAAACTGGAATGAGTCATGCTATTGATGCAAGAATATATAGAGATGAAGAAGAGGTTGATATTGGTTACAAGCAACCAACAAACGAAAAGAATGGGTATAATCAACGAGTACGTTTCGAAGATTCTAGTGACAAGGAAATGGAAACTTTGAGCCATTATACTCGAAAGCATTGGACAAGAGCAACTACTAAGGTATTGGTGAAAGTAGGAGATATAGAAGAACCAATAGTTTCTTTAGTCGACCATGGTTCTGAAATAAATCTCATGTCTAAAGATCTTTATAAGAAGTAAAAATGGCCAATTGATATGGAACATGGATGGGCAATTTGAGCAGCTAATAACACACGGGGTGAATTATATGGAGCTTGTCTAGATGTCAAAATTTGGATTGGAGATGTTACGACGGAGCAACATTTCTTTGTTCAAGATACAACGTCTTATCCGTTGATTTTAGGACAACCTTATATTATGATACACTGATGGAAACAAAAGTACTTGACGATGGTTGTACTTATGCAAGAATATGTAGCGAAGATTGGAGGAAAGCTATACAATTTCTAACAATACCTCCTAACCATGAACGGAATCGAGATAGGTTGAGGGAGA